TTCATAACCAAATCATTTACCAATGCCTTTCATCTACCGTAGCTTATGTAATGCGTACTGAAACTAAATAGTAAAGAAAAAACATGTGTACATACATATGCGCTCAGAGGCGAACTGAACGAGTCAGGATAGGGTTGACGAAGATCATAGAAAGCGATTTCGATGTAAGGGGTCTAACGTCCAGGCCGTGAATCGCATTCGAACCACCATTCCCATATCCTTACTAAACNTTCATAACCAAATCATTTACCAATGCCTTTCATCTACCGTAGCTTATGTAATGCGTACTGAAACTAAATAGTAAAGAAAAAACATGTGTACATACATATGCGCTCAGAGGCGAACTGAACGAGTCAGGATAGGGTTGACGAAGATCATGGAAAGCGATTTCGATGTAAGGGGTCTAACGTCCAGGCCGTGAATCGCATTCGAACCACCATTCCCATATCCTTACTAAACGCTCCACAGGTTTTTCGTTAACGTGTCGCTGAAGATGAGAGGGGGATNTCTAACGTCGATCAAACCACAGCCCGTGAATTGCATTCTAACCACCATTCTCATATCCCTACTAAACGCTCCACATTTTTTTTGTTAACGTGTCGCTGAAGATGAGAGGCGGATAATGATCTATTATTTTTTATCGCCCAAATAATAGACATAAGAACGATTATGAGAAATGTAAAAATAACAAAACTGTCAAAGCTAAACTTCAAAATGGGGGGGATTGCCAGATGAATGTACCTAACCAATAGTTATTCAAGACACGAACCATTATATCAGTATAGATACGAATTGACATGGCCACTATGAAAACGCCCACACTGACATACGATAAAAGAATCGGTGATCACATACCACGAGGCTAGAAAAATATATCTCTTTTTGGAATTGGACACGGAGCGAACGACACTCATCAGCCCTCGCAAGAACGGAATTACAACCAAGTAATTAAAGTGGATTAAAAGCTTGTATTAAAAGCTGCCGCATTCGGGGAGTCGATACTCAGCCCCCAGTGGAAATTAATAGAGACAAAAGGTGCCGTCACATTCTTTCCGGCAAATCCCCAGCCATGTTGTTGCGTAGAATAAAGAAGTTGTGAGCATCAAATCTGGACTATTCATTT